AGATAGATAGATAGATAGATAGATAGATAGATAGATAGATAGATAGATAGATAGACAGCCAAGGACTCACAACTACCAGTATCTATATCTCCACCTCAATGACGAACAAACCATGCAGCGGGCGACAACACCTCAGATATAACACCTCCCAAACATTGCCCGACAAAAGAACCAATAAAACCGACCACTTACCTGCAGAAAAAAGCGACCGTTGTGCTTTTAGTTACGACGCTAGAGGTGGCACAGGAGGTAGGAAACTATCGACACAACGACCCTCCCCCCAAGACAACTCTTAGTTTCCTAGCTACAGAGAGGTTGTCCTGCAGTGTTCAAACAATCGCTGCTTGTAAAAGGCCTACGTGTTGTGGGCGATGTGAAAAGTGGTCAGAGACATGGCGAGTAAACTACTCCGCGACGATCGTAGACCTTTTTGTCCACTGCGGTACGGCGAGAGAGTTGAAGCGGCCATTATGTTAAGCATGAAGTTTCAGCGTTGCTTCCATTGTATCCGTTTATTGCTAAGCCTGAATCTAATTGCGTTGTTTTATTAGAAAGGGAAAAGGCAAGGTGCTAATTTTTGTCTAGAATGTTTGTGGTTTGCGGGTACTCTGGTGTGGTTTACGCCTTTCCTATCAAACGCCTATCGTCTTAATCTCCATCTCTGGTAGTAGTAGTATAGGGTTTTACGGCGCTCGCAACTGCGTAGGGTCATATGAGCGCGTTCTCCATCTCTTTTCTTTCTTTGTTACTCTCTTGTAACACCTCTAATCTTCGGCACTTATATGACCTAATTGTGTTCCAAGAACCTTAAAATTCTTATTAAGACGTAGCCTAAAATCCCCTAGATAGATTTTCTTATCGGTCGACCAGTTAATTCAAGCTGTGTCAGTTACGGAAAGATATACAGCGAGCCAGACTCTTCCACGCTCAAACATTTTAACTCACGCATCTCGCACAAACCGACCATCACATGTTTACTTATTAGCTTTGCGAGGAAACGGCAACAGTCAGGTATAATAGGCCTACATTTCCTAAGGTCAAGAATAAGGTAAAAATATATTTTTCCGACATTTCTAAAAGACAAAAATTGAAGGTAAAATACTTAACCCAAGGACAAAAGAAAAGAACACTGTTTTTCCTAAGAATGGAAATTAGATCAAAACTAGAAAATTGATACATTCCCTTTCTCCAAGAAAAAAAGTAAAATCTAATACATCTTCTCACAGATAGAAGTAAATAAGATATTCGTACGGTACTTTTCCAAAGACAAATTGAATAAGCCACATTTGACCCAAAGATTTCAAAGAAAAATAAAATATAAAGTTTATTTAAAATAAAAATTATTATCCAAGATGAAAAATTGATGTCCTTCAGATAAGAATAAGACATGATACGGTAAACCTCTCTCAAAGGTGAAAATACGGAATACGGCAATACCTTTCCCAAAAATGTAAAGAATGTTTATAGGCAAAATATTGTTCTTAATAATAATAACAATGGATTGCATTTATATAGCGCATATCCACTTATGCAATGCTCTATGCGCTTAAAATGAAGAAATAAGGCAAAAATCTTGTTTCAAAAGTTAAGGGTTAAGATGAAACATTTAGGTAAAGATTGAAAAAAACCTATACAAATAAAAAGATAGCAACAACAACAACAACAACAACAAACAAACAAACAAACAAAAACAAGAAAGAAAACCCACAAGCATAATACGCATGTTCCCCAATGATAAAAACAAGGCGAACCACCTTATAATATATATACCAAAGAACGAACACTACCGCCTTACCTAACTTAAGCGAGGATCGAACCCTGAACCTTAATCACCAGAGGAGGACAGGTGCAGCAGGCGATTTGATGACAAAGAACGGACCTGTTTATTTGTCAGTGACGTAAGACTGAAGTACTGACACTGTAGGAGTGTGGCACAGTGGATATATTGATCTGAGACTACATTGATAGCCTTGCTGAAGGCCTTTGTGATCAAACTCGCCACTTCCAACAAGCGAGGTCCGCAGATAATGTCGGTTATTATTTTCATTTTATTCATGATTTGTTTTTTATTTTTTTTAGTTTTCTTTTGCTCTTCAAGAAATACACTGAATAAGAGCAGTACAAAACATATTTGTTACTGCATGTTGAGTTGGGAAATATTTCAAATCAGTACAGATTTTTACTTTGAACGCATTTGCAATGGTAAAAATAAGCATTAAAATTTTAAAATGTATATAATACAAAAAAACCACCCAAACCAATTATAAAAAGTGCTGCCCCTGGTGCTACTTCTACTACTACTGCTACAACAGTAAATAACAAAAATATTAATAACAAAAATGATGATGATAATAATAATAATAATAATAATAA